ATCCAGTACGAAATGTCGAAATTCCATCAGTTTTCTTTCCTTCAGAGACATAATAGGGCTAATTTGGTAAGTAGGACCTACTATCATATATTCATCATCTTTATTCTTAAACTCTAGTAAAAGTTATAATTAAAATTGTGAAATTTTATGTCCCATTTAATATTTAAGGTCATATTTTACACTTTTAAGTCATATTTCACATAATTTTGGGTCATAAGAGCATGCATATACTTATAGTTTTTAGGTCATAAAAATCCGGGCCCTATTCATGACCATGCATCACTTTACCCACAGTTCAAATGAAATCCTTGCCAGCAAAGTTGCACTATATCTCATCTATCTACCCGTATCTGTCTGTTTTTCTGCTGTCCTTTTTTTTACCTAGGCCGTATTTCAGTTTCTTCATCCTATATACAGTGAGGTAGGATACATTGGAAGGGGTATCAGCCCCTCGTTAAGCCGCTACCTACACACAGAACAGCACAAACACAGAATAAACGCAAACAGACATCCATGCCTTGAGTGGGATTCGAAGCCACGAGCCCAGTGTTCGAGCGGGCGAAGATAGTTCATACCTTAGATAGTACGGCCACTGTGGTCGGCCTACGACATCTAATCTACCATCACGTATTTGGTGAATTAATCTTGTCCCTGATACATAAGCCTAGTGCTGTAAACGTATTTACATACTTGTATTCCGGTAATCTCAGATCCGAGTGTCTGGAAACATTTCATTGTCCTCGCAAGTACCCTACGGTGTTCCCCAGTGATCTGTTCTGGGGCCTCTGGCTTCAGTGTCTTTAGTAATCTTATGTAAGAAGCACAATAGACCACCGTAGGTCGCGGTGCAAGGGCCGAGAAGGCCCACCCCTCATACATTCAATCTTATGTAATGCAATTAAGTATCTAGGCATCTCCATTTTGCTGATTGCATAAATATTTACTGTACATGAAACTCGTAAAGACAGCAACATGGACTCCGTAAGAGGCTGGTGCATACCATATGTTTCAGTGGCCAAATAATTAAACACCAGGCAGTGAATACGGGTCGGGGTGTGGAGGTATAGCTCCAACATTCTCAGCCTCGACACTAGATGGAGGTGGGTGGTCAGCTTCACGGCGTGGCCCACTTTACCCTGGGCCTAACGGTCTTGATATCCATTCGATATGGGGCTGGGTGGGAGCCAGCGAGGTCATCACCCCCGCAAGTGGGGCACACAGGAGACTGGGTAGATACCATTGCCGGTCTCGAAAGCTGTGGTTAAGAGAAATGTATCTTGCCAGTGTCAGGAATCGAACCCTAATGCCTTTGCCGTAGCCGTCGCTATATTTAATTGCTAAATTTATGAAACTTCTATCTTGACGAAATAGGTCTTTCTGACCTATTTCCTATCATAGTTTTTTTAATGCTAGTGATGTGGGACTGAGTCCCATGTACTGCGGCCACTTCTGGTCTATTGTACCAGCCCCAGATGATAGGCGAGGGTGATTGTGGAGCAATTGGTGGAATGAAGATTGGCAGGGGAAACCGAAGTACACGGAGGAAACCTGCCCCAGCGCAATTTTGTCCACCACAAATCCCACTTTGCCAGGCCCGGAATCGGTGGGAAGCCAGCGACTAACCGTTTGAGCTATGGCGCGGCCCTCCTATCAGTTATTATTATTATTATTATTATTATTATTGATTTGTTTCATTCTGGTCCGTCACACTAACAATTACAAATATAAATCACTCCGTCCAATGTGACCTGTAAGTTTATTACTACATGAAAAACTCAACACCCTTACATGTTTCGGTCTCTGCGGACCATCTTCAGAGGGCAAACATCACTACAAATAGGAAACCACCTTCACATAAGTTGTTTAGACGTAAAGTACGTACACTTATATGCTACAATGCATAGTACACAAAATTGAAAATTTCACAAACACAGCAGTTTCCTGGGAATGTAAAGTTTTTAAAAATTATTTAAAATATCTTGATGCTAATTAAAATTTTTCATTGTCAGTAATTCAAATTCATAAATCATGCAGGCTCGTGTTCGTCCTCCCATCGTCCCTCTTGTATGGGGCAGATATTGTGCCACCTGTCTATCTTGATGTGGAGGTTCTTTATATCTTCCAGGGTTTGCTCGTGGCTGCTGTGCATTTTCCGATGCACCAGTTATTGTTCCATTGTGCGTCCCCCTTTAATTTCTACTGTCGCCATGCCCTACCGGTACTGTTGCGTGCTATTAGCCCCGTTCAGCCAACGAGGTCGGCCGTCGGTACCTGATATTTCCCATATCTACCAGAGGCATTTGAAACTACTTGGGCGGGAAATTGTTGCCTAATTTTGCTCAGAGGTCTCCTAGAGACATGAGGATCTTTTACGTGCCATAAATCTAGGACACGGGACCCACAGCTTAAAGTCCCTCCCGGAGGACTTGTTCCATGAAATTTCTGCCCTTAAAAATTCCACAACCTCCGCGTACCTTGAGTCATGAGGTGGGAACGTTAGCCCTAGACTACGGAGGCCGCTTCCTATCAGAGTTAATCTGGAACTATGAATCTCATAGAGAGTTGATAAGACCCCTTGGACGGAGTATCAACCCGTCCCTAGGCCGCTACCTACATACAGGACTATACGAGCACACAAGAAACTTTAAGACATCCGTGCTTCGAATGGGGCTCAAACTCACAATCCCAATGTTTGAGCAGGTAAAGCTATTTATATGAAATTTAGCTTTAGCAATAGAAGAGTTTTACCTTTCTCAGTAAAGCTACTGTGTTGAGCTATGCATACATAATTTGTCAGTCCTCTGCAACACGTACTGACTGTTCAAACAACTGGGAGTGACTCCACGTAAGGGGATATATCACCTTCATGTTCTCATGCTTATGCAAGTCGGCCTTGGTTTTAGTGGCCTGTATTTTTGTAGACGGTCAGCCTCCGAGTTGCTGATCGGTGTCCAGCGTCCTTCAACACGAGCCACTTCTATTTGCAACGATGTTGATATACACGTATTTCAAACAAAATTTATTCCTTTCAGTCACATTTTATAATAGCCAAGGCCTTTTTCATTTATTAAATGAGCTGGGATAGCGCAGTCGGTATAGCGACTGGTTACGGGCTGGACAACCGGGGGGTCGGAGATCGAGTCCTGTAGTGTCAAGAACTTTCTCTTCTCAACGTCGTCCAGACCGGCAATGTGGTGCTACCAGCCTGCAATCAATTGGGTACCGAGGGCTCTTTCCTAGGTGATAAAGCGGCAGGGGCATGAAGCTGACCACTCAAAGAAAATGTGGATCTCTACTCCACCCCCCCTTTTCACGGCGTAGTGCTTAATTAGCTAAACACAGAACCAACTTCACCTTCTAATTACTATTTTAATGATAGATAATTCGGCACAACAGGTTGCGGGCTGGACTGTCAAGGAACCGAGGTTGGGTTCTCGGCAGTAGAAAAGAATTTT